GCCGAATCATGGCAGACAGATCAGGAGGGGTGCCGAGGTGGGAATGGAGCACCCGCCCTCTTCAGTCACTTTCGTTCCAAGAAGAGGAGGTTCCCATTAACTCAAGAGCTGACAGACACTGGGCAGAAGGGACCATCACTGCCAAAGCCTGAGTCATTTCCCTCAATGCTTAGGCAAACCCTGAAGAGAAACATTTCCTTCTCCAGCATTTGGGACTGAAATTTCACAATGGCTAAGGAACTTCTCCTATGGGGATTTTGCAGTCAGGGAAAGAAAAGAAGAGTCCAGATGGCAGAACATTGACAGGCAGAGAGATTAGCTAATCAGACAACCTGGATGGACTCTGAAGCCCCTTTTGGTAGCCATTGGGAAGATGTGATCTTGAAGAGGCAGATGCTCACAACTAGACATTGAACTGATCATGGGGTTCCCAATGGAGGAGTTAGAGTGAAGACCATTGGAGCTGAAAGGGTTTGTGGCCCCATGAGGAGAGCAACAATACCAACCAACCACAGCTCCCAGGGTCTAAACCACCAGCCTGGGAGCACTTAGGGAGGGACCCATGGTTTCAGCTGTATACATAAGAGCGGAGGGCCCTGCTGGGCATAGGTGGGAGAAGAGATCCTTGACCTCATGAAGGCTGGATGCCCCAGGGGGTGGGAATTTGAGGGTGGGGAGGTGGGAGTGGGGGGGTAGGTAGGGGTACATCTGCAGAGAAGCAGGAGGAGGGGTGAGGGGATAGGGGGTTCCTGGGTGGGTGGGGGATGGGGTAAGGGGACAACATATGAAATGTAAATAAAACATCCAATAAAAAAAAGAAAGAAAAAGAATAAAAAGAAAGCTACCTTTTGCAAATGTAGATAAGTATCTGTCCCAAGTTCAAAACTATACAAAAATCCAAAGCAAACCCCAGTAGCATTCAGGTGGGGTTTTGTTGTCCCTGAGAGCCTCATAGTTATCTACACAAATGAAATAATCTCTCGGGGGCTGGAGAGATGGCTCAGCGGTTAAGAGCACTGACTGCTCTTCCAGAGGTCCTGAGTTCAAACCTCAGCAACCACATGGTGGCTCACAACCATCCGTAATGAGATTGGATGCCCTCTTCTGGTGTGTCTGAAGACAGCTACAGTATATTCATATATAATAAATAAATAAATCTTTAAAAAAAAAAAAAAAGAAATAATCTCTCTGCCATGATTTTGGAGTCCTCATAAGGAGAATATTCGGGAAGTCACTTAACAGAATCATGTTTGTGTGTTTGGGGGGCAGGGTTGCTAAGGATAGTACCCAAGGTTTCATGCATGTTAGTCAAGGCCCTACCACTAACCGTCTACAGCTTCCACAAGTAGCTCTGTCCTTGTCATATCTACACACTGTCTATGTGTCTGTCTTCTCATTCTCCAAAGGCCCACTGAATTGTTTCCCCAAACAAAAGCTAATTAGATCTCTCTAGAACTATAAAATATAGTTTGCAAAATTACAGTGGTTTTGTAATCTGTAGCTGTTATTTCAATCTTTTTTTTTTTCTTGGTTTTTCGAGACAGGGTTTCTCTGTGTAGTCCTGGCTATCCTGGAGCTCACGCTGTAGACCAGGCTGGCCTCGAACTCAGAAATCCACCTGCCTCTGCCTCCCAAGTGCTGGGATTAAAGGCATGCGCCACCACTGCCCGGCCTCAAACTTGTTTTAAAATGACAGAAATTTTCCTAGCTTCTTGTTCAAAGCTTATCTTTGGTCTCTAGGATCTTAAGAATTATTATTATTATGATGATGATGATTAAGGAATTATCCCATCAGCCGGGCAGTGGTGGCGCACGCCTTTAATCCCAGCACTCGGGAGGCAGAGGCAGGCGGATTTCTGAGTTCGAGGCCAGCCTGGTCTACAGAGTGAGTTCCAGGACAGCCAGAACTACACAGAGAAACCCTGTTTCGAAAAACCAAAAAAAAAAAAAAAAAAAAAAAAGAAATTATCCCATCAAGAATATTTATTCTTTTTTTATTTTTGAAATAAGTTCTCACCCTAGCTTAGGTTGCCAGTAAACTCACTATGTAGCACAGGCTGGCCTTGGATTCGAATGCATGGCCCTCTCCTTGCCTGTCTTAGCCTCCTCAGTGCTACGATTATAAACATAACTGCTGTCCATCTGAAATTATCTTCTTTAAAAATAGACACTCTTCATATTATGAACAATGTCTTTGGGTAGGAAGAACATCCATTCATTTATCATACAAATCCCTAGGCAAGATTCACACGACCTGGCTATTCTGGGGTTTTCAGCTCTGCTGCCTACCCAGTGTGGTCAGGCAAGTCCACTGTTTTTCCACTCATGGGCTTTCAGTCTGGAATGTTCAAACAAAAGCCACAACTGCTATACTTAGTATTTGATTAAAACTGTATTTTTTTTTATATAGAGGGTATTGTTTCAAGATAGTTTTAAAAGGTTTGTGAACTAAGCTAGAAAACTGAAATGTGCTTGGGTCAGATTCATAACCTTGGAGGTTAGTCATTATTAGTCTTAATATAAGTTTTTTTTTCCGTCTCACAAACAGAAAATTAACTTTTGGTTATTGTGTCAATCTGTTTACAACTACTATGACCAAAATACCTGACAGAAATAGAGGGGAAGGGTTTCTTTAAGATCATGGCTTCACAGGGCATAGTGGGTAAGGCCTAGTAGACAGGGCCTGGTGGGGTGGATGGAAAAGGCCTGCTAGTCAGGACGTATTTGAGCAACATATCTAATGTCATGACAGGCCAAGAGAGAGAGGGAGAAGGAGATTGCTGGTATATTCAGCTGGCTTTCTCCTGTTACCCTTCTGGTATATCTGGGCTCAGTTCATGGGATGGCGCTGCCTACCTTGTGGGTGGGTTTTCCCCAGCAATTACTCTTCTCTGGAAATTCCCTCACAGACATAACAACCAATCTCCTAGAGAAGTCTAAGTCCAGTGAAGTTGTCAGCAAAGATTAACCAGTTCACAGTCATGTTCCTGGAACGTGAAACATGAGAAATGAATCTGAATGTGAAATGTGTCCAATAAGCAGGGGCTATCTGCATAAAGCATATGTACTCCAGGGCACACATACAAAGTCATGAAGCTAAGTGTGAAAGGCATAAAGAGAGATTTGAGGTCTGAAATTCTGCCCATACAGAGAACAGACCCTCTGAATTACTCTCTACAACTTTATTCCCGGCATTAAACAAACACTCTGATGAGCAACTGGCTCACACAGATCTACATCTACGTTAACTGTAAAGTACCCTTACTGAATTAATAAGCGCTTTTTTTTGGAAGGGGGGGGTTAAGACAGGGTTTCTCTGTGTAGCCCTGGCTGTCCTGGAACTCACTCTGTAGACCAGGCTGGCCTCGAACTCAGAAATCTGCCTGCCTCTTGAATTAATAATCTCTTATTACCAAGATTTTCATCCAGGTAACGGGTTCTCTTTGGAGTATTCATATAGCTATTAGCTATGAGATATTGCTAAAATCCTCAACAAAACTCTTCACCCAGATATTTAGACCCGACTTTGAAATTGGATTATTGAACTTACAGTGCTACTTTAAGTAGCAACGGCCCCCATATAGGCTTATGTATTTGAATACTTAGTCACTAGGGAATGGTGCTATTTGACAGGAATCAGGAGGCGTGGCCTTGTTGAAAGAGGTGTGTCACTGGGTGTGGGTTTAGGGTTTCAGAAGCTCAAGTCAGGCCCAGTGGTTCTTTCTTTTCCAGCTGCCCGTGAATCTAGATGCAGAGCTATCAGTTACTCTCCAGCCACCATGCTCCCTGCTGTGATGACAACTACTGCAGATGATGTATTGTCCATACTTTAATTAATAATGAGTTGTCCAGGGAGCTAGAGATGGCTTAGCAAATCAAGTATGTACCGCTCTTACATATTTGATTTCAGGTTCCAAAGACTACACTGAGCAAGCTCATAGTCAATCACCTGTAACTCCAGCACCGAGGCGACATGACCCCTTGGCGTCCATGGGGACCTGCACACATGTCCACATACCCACACAAGTACACACATAAAATGAAACGTAAAGTAAATCTTTAAAAATGGAGTTTTCCAGACATAAGCATTATAGAAATCAAACCATAGGGATTTTTTAAAGTAATAAATCTGGCATTAGGGACGTTTCATGTAATCAGTCAGGATGAACTGAATGCTAAAGCAATACTGTCAGAAAGCATGGAGATACCACTGAAGAAATTAAAGCAGGTCTGAAAAGATACTGTTTGAAAGTACAACCTAGGGGAATGGAAAATGGCTCAATGGTTAAGAGCACAGGTTTCCTCTTCCAGAGCAGAGATTAAATTCCCAGCACCCACACGGTAGCTTACAAGCATCTAGAACGCCAATCCCAGGGGATCTAATGTCCTCTTCTGGCCTCTGGGGGCACCAGGCACACATGTGATGAACAGATGTGCATGTGGACAAAACACCCATACACATTAATTAACCTGTCAATTAATTTTTTAAAAGAAGGAAAGTTTAACCTGGAGCTTGACTGAGAAGGACAGTTGGTGCAGTGACAGGACACAAGACAACACCTCTGGGCATTCTCTGTAAGTCAGCTTGTGCTGTCTTCACAATTTCATCAAGTAAACTTTATTATGTACATATTATCTCTGTGTTACAAAAAAGATGGCGAGGCTTGCTGGGGCCAGGTAATGTGTGATCAAACTGTGAGGGAGAATTACACAAATCCTAACACTTTACCTTTGGCTTTAACCAAGCTACTTCTTGTAGCTCCCCCCCCCCCACCGGGTGTGTGTGTGTGTGTGTGTGTGTGTGTGTTTCTCTATACACACACACACACACACACACACACACAGGACTTTCGGCACGGCATCTCCTCTTGTAGTAATCTCGGCTTTCCTGAGAGAGTGAGGAGCCCTGCAGAACTATAAAACAAATAACACTAGACAGGAGACTGAGGCCATCCTGGGCTACAGAGTCAAAACCTTGTCTCAAACCAAACTAATCCCCCAACCCCTGACAATGGGCAAAGAGGCACCTTGGTGATGGTGGTGTTTTTTAATATCAGTCAAGGGCAAAGCATATGGCAACCCTTTGTTCATCCTAGCTTGATGCCTGGCTTAGTGGACAATGCTATCTTATGCCTAGGACTCATAAAAATTAAATCCAGGAAGCACAGGGGAGGAGGAAAACAGACGGACCTGTGGATAGCCATGCCACCCACAGACCTGCCCTCCAGAATACAACACAGGCAGGCCATAGATACCCACCTTGCCTCCAGGACACACAGCACAGATGGAGACTATCACAAAGGGGCCCACCAGTCCTGTGGCCAGCCTACAGCAGAAGCTACCACAGTGTGTATTTGGTGGTCAGATGGGAGAGGAAGAGACGTGGAGCAGCTTGAGCATTTTGGAAGGAGAAGAACCTGGAGACAAGGGGTTGCCTGCTGTGCGTGGCCAGCCCAACCACCTGGGGCCATGGTGAGGTCTAGGCTTGGCATCATGTCGATGTCTACAGCTCATATTACTAGAGAACATGGGGATGTCTCTGGTCGGGCCAGCTGCCAGAGACCACCTGGATGTCCAAGGGCTGTTCATAACTGGCCCCATTCCTCACTGGATAGAGCACTCTGGAGACCAGGCTCTGTGTTTTGCCAATCTAGCAGTGGTACAAAGAGTACAACGTGAAGTCTGGGGAAATGGTTCAGTGGTTAAAGCATTTATGCTGTAGGCAAAAGGACTGGACGTGGGATTCCCAGAACCCGCATAAACAATGGGTAGGTGTTACAGCTTACCTGTAATTCCAACCATAAAAGGCAGAGACAAGGGACCCCCTTAGCAAGCTGGCTACCCAGACCAGCCATGTTAGTAAGCTCTGGGACTGATAGGTTGAAAGACCTTTCTCAAAGACTAAGGTGGAAGAGTGACTGACAAAGTCCTCACATCAGCCTTGACTCTTGGATGCACACTTGAATACTACCTGTGCACAACCCACACCCACACCCACACCCTCGCACACCACAAGAAAGGAGAACACTTCTCAGAAGGCGGGGGGGGGGGGGCATACTGCATTTCAAAAATTGAATAGTTGCTATTATAGTTACAACTGTCAGGAGGTCCAGGTAGCTTGTGAACTGAAACTGTTTCTGCTTTTCTACCCATAACCGGTGCTGCCCTTAGAGCCAAAGCTCAATAGTTATAAGTGTGGTTCCAGGCAAGCCAGCAGTTGTACCCAGGAACGAATTAGAAATGCAGCTTTATAGCTCACACAGACCTCGTCAGAACCCAAGAGCACGGCATAGCAACTGTATTCTAGAAAGCTCTCTGTGCTGATTCTGTTGTGTGGCCTGAGAACTGCTGATTTCAACACACATAATCTCTAGCTAGAGCTCTTGATGCCCCTTAAGATGTTTCTCCTACTTTTCCCTGTGAATGTATCATTCGGATCATTGTTTTTATTTTGCTTTTTAAAAAGGTGCCAGTGTCCCTCCTAAACTACAGGAAACTATAGCTCGGTTTCATGAGCTGTTGAATCTCAGACCACTATCTGAACTCCGAAGAGTCTGCCAGCTGACTGACAAGCTCTCCCTAAGGGCTGTTCTTTATACTACCACAGCACTTCATGTGCTTCTCAGAAACACAACTATTGTCAAAATAACATCCCTTGATTAAAGTTATCCCATCTGATAAAACACAGGACTAGCATAGAAATCTCCCAACTGTGTTTTTTGTTGAACCAGGTTATTCCTGCAATACCATGAACATTTTTCCACAATTAATATTTAAAACTCACATTCTGGTATGGTCAATTTGGTTCACTACTTACCAAAATTAAATATGTAGGGTTTTTTTCTTTTGTGCCATTTATTTATGGCACATGTATGCATGCCTATGCATACATGTGCATCAGCGAACATCTGTGAGTCAGACTTCCTTCCATCATTTGATTTCCTGAGAAAGTATTTATTTACTTCATGGTGTGTGTGTGTGTGTGTGTGTGTGTGTGTGTGTGTACATGTATCTCTGCTGCCTAAATCCTCGAATTGGAGTTACACACAGTTATGAGCTATCTTGTGGGTGCTGGGAACCAAATCTGTGACCTCTAAAAGAGCAGCAAATGCTAACCACTGAACCCTATGTCTAGTCCTGGGAAATTTAATGTGAATTAAACTTAGGGTCTCATGCATGCTGGGAAAAAAATTATTAGTTTTTAATTTCTTTGTTCTTATTTGATGGGCGTTGGTGTTTTGCCTGCACATATCTGTGTGCTGATGTTAGAATTCTGGAACTAGAGTTAGTTGTGAAATACCATGTGGGTGCTGGGAACTGAACCCAGGTCTTCTGGAAGAGCAGCCAGTGCTCTAGATCCCTGAGCCTCTACAGCCTGGGAAAAAATTATTGATGGTAGCTTGTAGTAAAGATTAAAGCACAAAATACATTTACTTGTTGGATGAGCTTGAATATTTAAACTGATAGAATCACAGAAATAGAATTAGGGCAGTGACGCACACCTGCATTCCCAGCACATGGGAGGCAGAGGCCGGAGGATCCTGAGTTGAAGGCCAGCCTAAGTTATATAGTGAGCTGAAGGCCAGCTGAGCTATATGAAATGCTAGCTCATTAAAAGAAGGAAAAGAAATAAAAGAGCACTTCTTTTCTTTGTAAGCTTTATTTTATCACTCTTATCCACCACACATTAGGAAGCTATCAACAGTGCATCGCAGGGCGAGTCAGTTTACAACAAAACTCAACAAGGCAATTGTGTTTACAGAGAAGTTTTCAGCAAAAGTAGGCAATGCAGCTTGCTGAAACACAGTGCTCACACTTTATAGGGAGGTGGAAATAAAGTCCTCTGCTATTCAGCAAGAAAATAGACATCTGAAAGACTGATAATGAAACCAGAAATTTTAGGGATTTGAAAAAAGAACATCTTGGTACTAAAACACATCTATCTACATTTATAGTCTCACTTAGTTCAAACAAACAAACAACATAAAAAAAAAACCCCAATACTCAATCACACACAAGCAGTTAAAACACCACAAAAAAAACAGAATCATAGAATCAGGAAATTTAGGAAATGTAACACGCTACTGAAACCCCAGGTAGAGACGTTACAGACGACCACTCACTGTGCACTGAAATGCCCCTGTCCTGTCATTCAAGGTGAAGGTGAACCAACAGGAGTCAGTGCCCCTTACAATGGGCTTTGGTTTAGGTGATCTTTCACATGTTGCTTAAACCAGACCTCTTCTATGCCCAAAACAGCAATTGCATGTCCCCAAAGGAAAACAGTAGTAGGTTTTGATATTCACAACCAACCACTCCAGTGCTGACATAGTCTAGAGATCAGAAACTATTAAAATGTACTGATCATAAATTTCTAAGAGTGAAAAAAAGATAAAAAAAAGATGAAGCCCTTTTTAGGATGGGGGGAAAAGCTTTCTACCCTTGATTTGACACTACTTAAGGAATGTTAAAGTATTTTAAGATTTTTCAAAAAGAATTAAGAATGAAAAGTAAATCAAAACGTGACAGCTTTATACTCTGCGGTTCACAGAAGTGCAGACTGAAGTTTTTCTCTGATAGACACTGCTCCCACTCCTGTTCACAAGGTGCTGTAACTGCATTAGTACACACAGATGCCGCCACCCCATGTGCACCAGGAGGACAGAGGTGGCTGACCCCAGTTTCTCTCTGAGACTTTAGTCCCAAGAATAGTAGCGAACACCAAATACACAAGGGCCAACATTCAAATACTTCTTAAAACTCAGGAGAAACTAAGAATGGGTGTGTAATCTGGCCTCCTAAACCCTGACCACAGTCTTCTGGGGAAACAGGATGAGGAATGTATAAGAAAGGCAATGTTTTTAAACTACAGGTAAAAAGTCTAGATCCTTAGACCATGACCTCTGTGTGGAAGATTACTGACACCAGTAAGGGGGCCATTTTTCTGCTCTCTCCTATCAATTTTTCCCTTCTTTGCTCTTATCTCTGACAGCCTTCTGATGACCCACTTAGCAGGGTGACACAGCTGAAAGTAGCTCAAGTCACTGAAGAGTGTCTGAGTCCACATGCGCATGTTCTTTCTGCATGCTGTCTTGATACCATGAATATTAAGAGGAGCTGACAGAGAGAAAGGAAGTGATGCCGACCACGCGTCTTAAAGAATGACTAGAGACCCGTTCACTGATCATCAGTAGCTGAAGGTGGTAGTAACTGCTGTGCTGCTTACACAAGGTTCTCAGTAAGAAACAAACAAACAACAAACAATTCCAGTCTTCTTCCAAGAATGTAACTTGCTTTGCTTTAACAGAGAAGTGGAGCAGAATCAGTTGTCTTTTGTACAACAGAGATGAATGACCTCGTAAGGCAAATAAAAGTCTGTCTGCCTTTCCACTAAAACACTAGGAACTCAATTCACAAAACACACAGCCTTCAAAAGAGCCATCAATATTTCTTCTCATTATCACGGCTGCTACCCAGTCTAATACTCTGGCAATCATTTGGTGAGCTTCCCATGAACTCCAGGATTTAGAATGGTGCCAGCAAACACAACTACCATGATTATGACTCTGAAAGGCACAAAGACAGCAAATTTAAAACAACCATTCCCATAGGCAGCACAAGAATCAGGGAAAGTGCTGCGCTATAGAAAATGAATATCAGGACAACAAAATGTGTGTAAACTTTTGTGTTAGTCTTACATCCTGAAAAATCACCTAAATGACCATAAAACAGTTTCCTAACAGAGCTGGGCAAGATGGTACACACCAGTACTTGGGAGGCCGAGACAGGAAGATCCTGAGCTGGAGACCTGTCTAAGCTACACTGCAAAACCCTGTCTCCAAAAGCTTTCTATCCTAAATGCTCCCTGGCTTGTACATATTTCTTTTGATAGCTCATTTCTCCTATAAAAAACATAGCAAAAATACTCTAAATTGCTTACCTTCTTAAATACCTAGTACCTGCCAACTGCTTGTCATAGTATGAAGCATTAGTCATTGGTGAACACCATCTGGGGGAGGTGGCAAGGATAAAAATCATGATCCATCCTATGATATAAGGTAGACAAAGAACCAAAATTCATTTAAAAAAAAAATGAGGCCACTCTAAAAACTAAAATATCCAAATTTCTCCATGATTAAGAATCTAAAATCTAGTTCCAAGACAGACAAGGCTACACAAAGAACCCCTGTCTTGAACACCAACCCCCCAAAAATCTAAAATCTAAACATACCATATGAGCTCCACTTGACAGACTCAAAAGACCAGCAGGTACTTGAGGAGACAGGTAATGCCAAGTGAAAGAGTGCCAAACTGTATGGCAAAGAAAGGTGACTTGCTGAGCACCTCAAGAAATCAGGATTTTGTTGAGCTAGCAGTGACCAAGGACCTGTGTGTAAGTGACCACAACTTATAAGAAATAGAGAGCTGGATCAATAAGAGTTGAGGAAGGAACCTGATAAATCAAACTAGATCCCAGAATTAGATGTGACACACAACTGGCCTTTCCATCAATATGCAATTCTGAAATAAGTCAAATTGGAATCGTTTTATACATTCTTTTTTAAGTAAGCAAAGAAAATTCTGGACTAACATGAATCATTCCAAGTCATTCCAAGAAAAAGGCAACAGTGCAGTCACCCCCTGGAGCTTTTGGCCAGATGAGATCTAATATTTGCCAGGAAACTCAAGGCACTTGCCCAAAACTTTAGCTAGCTATACATACAACAGATGGAAAGTCACAATCTGTACCCTAATCTGAATAAGCAGCCCAGCCTGTACCCCTTGGGTGAGAGTCTAAGTAAGGTGCATGGTTACCAGTGTGTCTCTCACCCACTGCACTGTTAATTCCCACTGGGTAGGCACAATGATGCTCATTTTCAGTGACTGTTAAAAATAAAATTGCCTAATAAACTGGAGGGAGAACTACCAAGAATGATGCCAATTGTCAACCACCTGCCTCTAATCAATACATTCAATAGAGCCATGAAACAGCATGATCCTAACCCTGCTTCTAAGTTATCCTGTAACTGATGCCTTACCTGAGGGAGAGTCTAGAGTGCTAAGACAGAAGGAAGCCTTATGCCCCTAATACTTCCGCCCCTTTCTCTGGACGGCAGCACAGTTGTTGGTAGGTTAACATTTCTCAGCACTCTTCAGCAGCTACATAACAACAAGGTGGCCACACTTCTCTCAGTTAAAACAGAGGCAGATGAGTAAAACTATGTTAGTCATCTAATTCTAAAAGCAGCCACAGATTTAGCTCAAGGGATAGCAGAAAGGAAGAGTTCCCAAAGAGAGTGGCTGTGCCCATGGTCACAAAGGAAGCAGAGTATCCAGTTATAATAAATGCACACTTACGGTAAAATGCAGGCAATACGCTACTGGGGTGTCCCACTCTATTATTCTCTCTGAACTAGTGTCATAGTTTTGATAATAGCTACAAGTCACTTCCTCCAAATACTTCTAAAGAACCCAAAATTTCCCTGCAGGCAATCGCTTTCTGTGCCTTATCAGGGACAAAACGTGCCACGGTATAGCAGTACCATGGAAGAATAAAGAAGAACCTAAGAAGGCAAGAAGGAAGGAAGCACGAATCTTAATATAGGGAGAGAAAAACTACCTGAGATAACATTTGCCCCCATAGACAGGGACTAAGTAACATGAATTCCCGCCTCTTTACATCACCCCCTAATAAGAGAATCCTAGGTTTTTAATAATTTCAAAGAATTAAAATTTCTGTGCATATATTTATTGTGAAAATTACATCTTTTGTAGTATTTATTTGGTCCTAGTTTAAGAAAGATATCAAAATGAAATTCCTGATAGTATCAGAGGAGAAGGAATCTGCAGCTGTCCTCTTTGGTAAAATGGGCTAAGAGCTATCACACAATGGTTTAAATCATAGTAGGTTATCTTCTGTTTTCAAGTCTGTGGCTTCAATATAAACTATTTAATTCAATGAACTCAATGTAATTACTTGGGCCCACTCATTTACCTCCTCAGCTCCCTTGGAATCTAGCTAGCATCGTCTGTGACAAGTCTACAGTGTCCAACACTACACATATGCGTAACTACGTCTGCAATGAGGTTCTCGGAATGCCGTGAGCACAGCAGTGTTAGCAGTACACTGCACGATACGGCCTGGAGGCCCACCTGCAGTTTATTTGCAAGGATCTCTTTTGCTATGAGATATGGGAACATGTGCTAACCTTTCTTGCCCTTCAAAAGACTTCACTTGTCTCTTGTGTTCATCAGTAGAAACGTAGAGACCTACTACTAACGACCACAGAAGCAGCTCCTCGTGTACATATTTGTTTTAGGAACGCTTAGCTAGGACTTCACAATCCTGATTCTATGTTCTTCCAAGTTTGACTTGAAAACCAACCACCTAATGAACCCCTGAAAAAAGCCTTCTTCCTAAAACACATATCAGAGAGCACAACATGAAGAGCAAAGGTAATTCATCATTAAATCTCCTTATACCAAATTTAAATTCATACAAGGGAGCTCTGAATAATCTGATTATACTAACAAATGTTGGACAGTAAATGTCTAAACCAGGTAAAATAATTCATCCTCTAAAATACAAGTTTTAACAGAGTTTCCAGGAACTTGAACAGCATTGACAATAATATAAGCAGGCTGCCAGCAGGAAAAGAAACAAACACTCTTTCCTAAGGAAAAATAAATAAATAAAACTTTCATTCAGGTAAGGAAATAGGAAAAACTTCATAACAAGCGTACAATTTGTGGGTTATCTTGTATAATCAGTGCTTTACAAAAGTTTCCTAAGTTTACACCTTTCAAGGCAATCTACTACAGAACAGGAAGAATCATATTCCTCAAGCCAGTCAGTTTGTCCCAACAAACAAACTCATGACAACAGGCATCCTCTATCAAAGACACACTAGACTGCTACTGTTCTTTCAGAAATTGAGTTTTTTTCCTTTCTACTTCTACTTTATAATACGTCAACTTTTCTTTACTCCCTTACAGTCAAAAGCTGATGACTCAGGACACTGCCCTCCAGCTGTAGACAGAGACAAAGGGAAAGGAGAGGAAGGTAGCAGGCAGCAGGGCAGACAGCAGGGAGGAGGGTCTGTGATTAGCTGCCTTCTCTGCACTTTTCTCTTTTCCCATCACTGTGCATCTAACTTTTTTCTGATCTACTTCAATTTCTCATTATAGCAGAAAGAATCACATCTGGAAAAACTTTATAATTATCACAAGAGGTTCAGTACAAAAGAGATGAGCCAATCTTGAGTCTAAAGTAGAGCAGAGACTGGGGTACCTTACATGTACCCACACTGTCTTTGTTCCAGTCACTCTCAAGAGCTGTGGGGAACCCTGGTCTAGACTCACTTTGTTCTATACTTTATAGTAATGAACTCTCTTGTCATTTACATTCTATCTGTCAGACCAACTTTCAAGAAACCTATAGCCCAAGTCTCTCAAGTGTGAAACTGGTAGGAAGAAATGGTTATAGACTATATTAGCTCACGTGACTCACACTGTAAAGTATACTGACTCAGATTTCTCTAGTCTTTCACACCTGCACACCCACTCAAGCATACACACTAGACATAAAAATTGTGCAAGATCAAGCATCAGCTTCCTATTTTAAAAGCCTTAATAGTAATTTTAAAAACATCGATAGGCTCACTGCAGTTTCTTTAGAGGAATATTAAGTTCTACAGTACTCCTTTAGAAAATTTCACAACTCATTGTTAAGAACACGGTAGGTAACTGCTGCTTGACAATGACGAAACATTATTAGAGCATCCAGTGCCAGCTAGAACAACAAGGAGATACACCTGACAATACACACAATATTCTGTGATGTCACCAACCCTAACAAATTTGTTAATAACATTCACTATGACAAATGACTCATCTTGGCTTCATCATCACATGAAATGACATCTTTTTAGGTTACATAGTAAAGAGCAGCACCTGCCCTACTGCACAAATAAAGGGTGCCCACATGGGTGCTCTACCCCCTCAATGTATAGCTGAGAGGTCCTGTCCTACTCAGTGCCATGTTTGCAACGCAGTCACTGTTTGGGCAATGGCTGCACATTAGTAGGATTAAATAAATGTACAAGGTACCCTTTCAAATGGGCAAAGGGGTGCTCCTGCATTCAGCTGTGGAATATAATAATCCAAGAAGTGGAAGAGGAGAAACAGGAAATAGTCCTTAGGTTACTGATTAAAGCAAGGTTTGATAAAGATATCCCCTCTTGTAGGCACTCAGCGGGTAGAATGTAGCCACAACAAACTTCCCGTCAAACATCCTCCCAGTCAGCAATTTCTGAGCAGCTTTGGAATCGCCAGCGTTTGCGTACTCAACAAAGACCTGAAGGAGGTTAGAAAAGACAATGTCATTTCACCACAGTGACTTTAGATTTAGATCAGTGCTTTACCCAGTTTAATGTATACCTAGTCACGGGCCACATAACAACATCAATGAAAGACCATGTAAGACACAGGTCTCCTAAGATTATAATAGAGTTGAAAATTCATACTGCCTGGTATATGAATTTTACTGTGCTTTGGTGTATTACAGCTGCCTACACTATTCAGGACAGTAATATCTCAGGTTCGTAGCCCAGAAACATCAGCCTACATCATACAGCCTAGGTGTTTTATAGGCTTTAGCATGTAAGTATAAGTGTGCTGGGTATCAGTTTACACACCAACAGAACCACAGAGATACATTTTTCACATATTTCCTGTTATTAAATGCATGACTGTGTATCATCTGGGGATTTTGGTAAAACACAGATTTTGCTTATAGTAGTCCAAAGTACGGTTTTAGTATCTAAATTCTTTTTAAAATTCATTGAGAGAGAGAGAGAGAGAGATTGATTGTGTGAATATGTATGTCAGAGGACAACTCTCAGGCATAGCTCTCTCCTGCCACCTTGTGGGACCCTACAACTGAACGGAGGCCATCAAGGCTGCTCACAAGCACGTCTATGCACACAGGCCTCTACCCTGAGCCGACCTGCCTGTGTCTGCTTCACCACATTTCTTAACCAACTCTAAAGGCAATGCTGATGACCCACCAGACGTATTTTATAGTAGTGCATTTAAAAATACTTCTTTCAAACAGCTCAACTGATCAAATTCTCAAGAGCTGTCAAAGATAAGTTAGGTGAAAAAGCATCCACGTTTATATGAAGCTCAAAGAGGAATGCGAATGAGGAGGCCAGAGAGCACCTGGAACACCACCCCAAAGAAAGCTACACCTATAAAAGGACATGAAAGGGGGGTCTGAGCAAGGCCACTGAAAACAACTGTACAAGCTACAGACCAAAGCTGTAATAAAGATGTTTAAAGCTGGTGATTTCCTTTCCCAGAGGCTCTTCAGTCTTCCCAGAGGTAGAGACTGGGACATAGTACCATTAAGTTCTCTTTGCTGTCCTAAATAAAGCAAAAAAGGCAGGGAAGGGGGTGATCCAGAATGACTGTTATCAGTTATCCTACACTTCAGAAAATTTGAAGAACTGTCCCTCTGCTGTGTCCCTTATTCATTATGTCAAGAATTCACCTGAGCTCAGATGTTCAGACTTTCAAAGGGAATGTGAAAATGGATCCTTAAAAAATTAACACTTAGATCCTAACCTTTTGGTTTCTTGTTTCAGACAGGGTCCCATGTCACCCAAGGTGACCTAGAGTTATACAGCTGAGAATCTCTTGAGCTCCTCATTCTTCTGCCTCTGCCTCTCAAATGCTAGAGTGGCAAGCATATGCCACCATGCCTAACTCTTATACACATTTTCTTTTGTATGTTTTCCTCAAATTAATCTTCCTACAAACCCAGGTACATTCCCAGTTCTCATCTCTCCTTTCATAAGAACCCATCTCGCATTTTTAAAAAAGCCAAATTTTCTCCATGAGATATAAACATTTTTTCTTTTTTAAATTTTGGCTTTTTGAGACAGGGTTTCTCTGTATAGCCCTGGCTGTTCTGGAACCCACTCGGTAGACCAGGCTGGCCTTGAACTCAGAAATCCGCCTGCCTCTGCCTCCCAAGTGCTGGGATTAAAGGCGTGTGCCACCACTGCCCAGCAGAAAAAATTTCTAACAGAGTTCCATGTGCCTGTGTACACACACAGGTGCGTGTGCCTGTGCGTCTGTCTCTGTGTACACACACAGGTGCATGTGCCTGTGCGTCTGTCTCTGTGTACACACACAGGTGCGTGTGCCTGTGCGTCTGTCTCTGTGTA